TAAGGATCCTCCACATGGATTTGTGCCTGTTGTTCCCTCCCACAAATTTATTTAAACAACTTACCTTGCGCACGCTACCAATAGCGACATACTTGCTTGACTAATCGTGCTCCCGGATTAATAGAACGGGCGAGTAGGGCTTGCTTTTCATTCAACTGGACGGATTGGGTTCTCCAAACTAGATACACGTGTATACATTGGCAATATTTATGTGCTACTATAGCCAATTATTTTTTGTACTTCTCCCAGGATGACCTGAACGAGCGAGTAGGGCTTGGTTCGCACGCACACACACAACCCCATACACACCAACACTTAGTACATATCTATGAATACAAGTTATATGCTAACCCCTGCTTCACCATATATTTTTCACGATTGGTTAATATATCATGCTTTTCGCTCAATCTTGATGATAGGAACTTTTTTTTGGCGATCTCGTCATAGCTTAGTATCATGATAGAAGCCATGCTTCGTTCGTTTTTTTCGACCTCCTAAATGGCTACTTTTTTTTCCATTTCCTTTCTTCCTGCTTCCTTTTTTTGAACCCTCGCTGTGTTAAAACTATTGTGCTGCCCTGCTTTTAGCCATGAAACTCGACTGAAACCTATTTTTCTAAAAAGATCTAATTAGGATACCTTTTCCGTCTTGAATTTGTGAAAACTTCTTCGGTGTACTCATGCTTACATGCTACCACACGCGCCAGCCAACTACGCAACGGAACGGATTCCCAGAACACAGATTGCTCGGCATCACAAGAAAACTACTCCAAAACCCACATTTATACCAACCCTTCAAATCTGATCCCCGAACAGTCCTCCTTAAACTCTAAGAAATAAAACAACAAAAAAATATATACTACGCATAACACGGTGTGCTGTGTGAGCCAAAAAATGGCTTGGTTCGGATGGAGGACCTACCCCGGCTGGGGTAGGTTCGACATCTCGGACCTACCCCACCGGTACCTCCATTACGAGGGTACGGGGAGGGACATACACACACACACACACACATTCACTCTCTTAAAACCTGATACGCAATTACAAAATTAAAATGCTAGAATTACTCTCTAATAATAAAATAAATAATATAATAAATAATATAATAATAAAAGAATAAAATAATAATAATAATTACTAAAAATATATATACATAATACTAAAGTAATATTAAGTAATAATAATAAATGAAAATAAATTTAATGGGTAATATAGACCATTAATAATAATTTTAATAAAATAATGATAAAAATTATAAAATAATAATTAAATAATATTAAAATAAATAATCTTGAAGAATAAAAATAAATAAATAATAAACAAACGTTAAAAATAAAAGTCGCAAATGACAATTTTTCGTAAAAAAATAAAGGACACCTAAAGGAACAAAAAATAAAATAAAATACTATAAATATATGTATTTTTAAAAAAAGTCCTCCCCGCTACACCCCCACTACAACCTACTGAATGCTATCCCACACCCCGAAAATAGAACACCACACCCCAACCGTGCACAATGCAAACAATAGGCCACACACCTATGTAGCATACAGACAATACCGCACATACCGGTTATGGGTCAATACCACACACACACACACACACACACACACACACACACACACACACACACACACACACACACACACACACACACACACATACAACATTTAAAATTTAAAATTAAAAGATAAAAATTAAAAATTAAAATTAAGAGTAAATTATTTTTTTTTAATATGAATAAAAAATAAAAAATAAAATAATAGTAATTTTTAATAAATAAAAATAATGAAATAATATTAATCAGAATAAAACTAAAACAATTGGAATAATAATAATAATAGAATTTTTTGAAAAAATAATAAATAATAATAACAAAACTCGGTAGAAGCCTAAAATAATAAATTATACACAAAACTTTCCTCCCTCCTAAGAAACTCCCTCACCAACACCCCTGACAAACCACGATGTATGCATAAGTAACAACAAACCAAATCTGATCATACACAGCAGTATTGAAGAAAACAACATATAAACGCAGATACAATCATGCAATACCTTTGGTTACGGGCCTGGGTGAACACCTCGCGCACCCAAAAAACATTTTTTTAATAAAAAGAGCTACGACTCACACAAAAAAAGAACTACGACTACCAAGCAACACGGCGACCGGGTCCGAAACGTGAAACGCCACCTTCACGAATACACCACCTTCACGAATCGACACCACACAAAAAAACACAACATGACCTACCACATAAGACACTCGAACAAAACGACACTGACAACCCATGACAAAACCACTCTCACACTACCCTCACTACACAACAAACACCACCATAGCCACAACATGGCACGGCAACACAAACAAGACAAAAGCATACACCAGTAAAGGACCGTAATGCACCTCGCTCCCTCCGACCCTGACTGAAAGCACTCGCCCACGTCACACTAAGCCAAGTCCCCCGCAAGCTTACCCTCCTGGCACTAAATCTCGTTCATACAGCTCGAGTAACCACACTACACCCCCCACCCGCTATCTCCCTACACTCCACCCCCCCCATGACCATCTACGAGGCAAAACACGTATACCCCTCAATGCAATGGCAACCTCCGCTAACCCTCCCCTGCTGCGAATACCTCTTCCTCCTACGCCCACTACCACAAACCCGACATATCCCAATTACTATGTATTCAGCTACATTCCACCTCTCTACCCTCCTCCTGAGCTCAGCCTCCGACTCTGCTACGCGCAAAGATTACCTCATCACTACGCAGCAATGCTGCTGCTGCTCATCTGCATGTGCCACCCTCATACTACGCAACCAGGCGAGCTAACCGTCTGTGTGCGGCTGGCAAGGCACCTTCTTGGGCCGACCACTCCGTGCTTCGACCAACGAAGCTTCTGATCCATCGTTGCGCCGAAGCTCGACAGCTATGGCAGCTATGGCAGCGACTGACTATGCCGCTTCTCCAGACATGACTCCTCAGGTACGGATCCTCTGTACCCTTACCCCCAATCGCCCATGTTGTGTGTACCCATGACCCCCTGACTAAAACTTCCTACCACCCTCTGTGCTAATAGGAGCCTTGCTAACGACTAATCCCTCTGATGAGCTGCTATGGGTGCTAAGCGGCGAAAAGCGCGCTTCAGGGCGTGCACCCCCCCTATGGCTGGGCTCTTGCCCTTTCCTAACTTCTAACCCACTAACACTAATCTGCTAATCATTTGCTCCTCTCTGACCAAACTTGCCCTATCAACCCGCTAACTATAAGTGACAATGTCCCTGGCTGGTTCCCTTTATAGCCAACTGGGCTAGCTAATCACCCTTGAATGGGGTTTCTTTAGTTTGAGATGCGTCTTGTTTCCCATTTCATACGGGATAGGCGTGTTACGTACACAATCCCCCCCCCCACACACGTACACATGTACACACACACTGTGACACACATGCGCACACACACACGCACACGCACACGCACACGCACACACAC